GCCAGTCCAGTCCAGTCCCGTCAGTCCGCTGGGGTATACCCCAGCCATTGTCTGTTTTCATTCTCATTCTTCACTTGCACATTTTGGAGTACGTGTGTTGGAGTCTTGCGTGGGGAGCTGCATTGTGCCATCTCGCTCCCCCCTTCTTCCTCCATCTCCATAGAGGAGCACCACACCTGGTGGGTCCGCTACACACCACACTTTGCACACCTTGACCCGACCAACTAGTGCGCAGCCAATGCTAACGACGAACGAGTACGAGGGGGAAGCTGAAGCGATGCAAGACCATCAAGAGAGCGTAGAAGACGGAGAGATAAACGGAGATTTGGTTAGCCACGTGCACAGGCACCGCCATGCAGGGATTTGGCTAGTCACGTGCACAGGCACCGCCATGCAGGGATTTGGTTAGCCACGTGCACAGGCACCGCCATGCAGGGATTTGGTTAGCCACGTGCATAGGCACCGCCATGCGGGGATTTGGTTAGCCACGTGCACTAGCACCACCATGCAGGCATTTGGTTAGCCACGTGCACAGGCACTGCTATGCATATTCCTACGTCAAAATTTGAAAGAAGAAAAGATGCAAAAGCTTCAGCGGAAAAAAGAAAACCTCTGTGCATCCTCGTCCCACTCGACCCGTACACTCATCTAATTACCCGAGGAACCAAGGGGCAGTTATGAAAATTGCAGTGTAGTATTCTTAATGCCCCTAAACTGGATGCTCTACCATGGGTACGCCACTTCGCGTGGTATAATAGTTGTGCGTCATCACAGGCCGCATACGACTTTGTGTGGGTCTACATCAGATGTGGCCTGTCACCTCCATGCACTGGAGGGAGCTTTGGGGGCAGTCCAGGGTCAAGGAGTACAAGATAGACCTCCATACTTGGGGTAGCAAGGTAATGTTGTTCCATAGCACCATGATAGAGCCTCCCGTTGTTGTTGGAGTGTGGATCTTCCAATTGACTTATCCTCCAAATGAGCAAGCAGCACTGGTGGGCGATTTACCATGGCAGGCGTCAGGTCTTTGGTGGACAAGTATCGTAGCATATGAACGAATCCACTCTTCTCAGGTTACACACGTCTGCCGAGTTGGTCTCTCCATCGGTTAATACTTATCTGAGGCATCGCGAGTATCTTGAAGCAGGCGGTAGCCCTTTCTCACAGGTTGCTCCTTCCCATAGTGAAATATTTCGTTGGGGTTGATTGGAGGTACCTGACCCGAGGTCATGCGTGCATGCCAATGGCATGAACCCAATCACAAGTGGTTCAGACAGCACCAAATGCAATCACGTTTGACTCAGTTGGGGGTAGGGAGGAAAGAGGGAAAGAAGAAAAGAGGGAAGAAGGAAAGAGAGAGAACAAACTGTACAAGGACGGAAAAAACAATTTTCCAGCGGTGGAAAGTCCCTACACCATGTTGCGGCTGCATCAATCATCAGAGGGACACAATGCGCTATGGAGAAATGAAGTGGACTTATCTTTTTAAATGCTTACTCGTTGCTATGTTTGACCCAAAGTGTCCTCAGAAGGTGTGTATTGGCGTGTATTAACCCACCTTGCTATGGTACCTCTCAATCGTAGGTCCAAATCCGCTAGTTGGCACCATGGCAAATCAAGCGAGCAGAAATAGATGAGAAGGTGTTGTCTGAACCATGACAAATCCGCTTAAGAACCGAAGAGCCGTATAAAGTCTATCGGCTAGTTGGCACCATGGCAAATCAAGCGAGCAGAAATAGACGAGAGGTTTCAGAAGGACGAGAGGTAGGGGAATAGACGAGAGGTTTCAGGAGGACAGGAGATGCAGAAGAGACAAGAAGGTCCGAGCTGGAGCGATTGGAGACTTGAGGGTTGCTGGAAAGAAATATGTCACGTTTTGGAGGGGGCAGATAGGTAGCAGCCGAGGAGGGAGCGCACCATGTTTGGGAGTAGAAAGAGACGAGTCACACGGGGTAGGAGGAACAGAGGGTTGAGGGTTGCTGGAAAGAAATATGTCACGTTTTGGAGGGGGCAGATAGGTAGCAGTCGAGGAGGGAGCGCACCATGTTTGGGAGTAGAAAGAGACGAGTCACACGGGGTAGGAGGAACAGAGGCTAGGACATATGTTTGGGGTGGACTG